AATAAACTGAAATAACACTTTTTAAATTAAAAAAAGGGGGAAAGGGGAAAAAAAAGGTTCTTTCTAATTTAACTCGATTGAAACACAACAGGCTACTGCCGACCAATTTTTTCAACAAGATGCAAAAGATAGCAGTTATTTTCAGAAATGGGGCACACTAAGACTTGAATAAATTAGACACCAGTTAACAAAATTAAAAATGCAAGTGACATCCATAATAAAATAACTACTTTTTTGGGGGGGTGTACTGTTTTCTCCATGATCACAACAATTTGTTTTAGCATCAAGAGACATCAAAGAATTGCAAAAACAGCATTTTGCACAGCCAACACTGAGTGTGCTAGTTTTCTCTACATGTACGCAGGGATTTTTTTTTTGTTTTGATTTGTTGTGAAATGCACACTGTCATGCAGGTTTTGTATATTGCAGTTTATGTAAGTCTCATTTAGTAAACTTTAACGAAACTTATTATACTTTCATTAGCTTATTATGAAAAATTAATAACCAAGCTTTATTTTAGATATGATGAAATTACTGTTTATTTTTTCTTAAATTTTTGTCTGAACCAAAAATGAAATCTGACAATAGTAGTTGTGACTGTAGAATATCAAACTACTGTGACTATTGAGTACAGTCAAAAGTCGTTAATCTAGACTTGTCGGGACTTCGGCGATTCCGGATTATTGATTTTTCTGGATTATAGATCATCAGTTTAAATCTGGTAAGATGGCATGCAGAAATTATAAAATTAAAAATATGAAACCATAATTTATGAAATAAAGAAAAATTATAATCTAAAGGGCATCAAAATTTACAAAAAAAAAAAAAAAAAAAAAAGCTTAATATTTATTTGTTTACTTTATTAAACATTTCTTTCAATGTAAGTTGTTTGTTTCGATTTATGTGATAATACTTTCTCTTTAATTCTATAAACAGACATAATTTCTTGTTCAGTTACAAAGTTCCGCTGTTCAAGTCCTATAATTGCTGTGTCGAGAATACCGACTAATTTGTCAATGGAAATTTTTTCGTTTTCAATAACCTCTGTGTCACTTTCTTCACTATCGGAAGCGAATTATATTTGATTTAAATCATATCAAAGATGGAGTACATTGAGATGAAATACTACATTTAGTAAGGAATTATAAGCCAAAATAAAATAAAAACATCTGCCCTGAAGATAAGGATAGTGCTGACAGATCAACTTCCAATTCATTGTGTGCCTTGGCGCCCCACCCCGCCGCAGAGCAGCGTGAAATTGATAAACAGATTTCAGAATGGTTAGAGAAACGAAGGATATGCCTTTGTGTCCATTTTTTGCAGCAATTCCACTTTTTGTTTAATGGACTTCGAAACATACTTTCGCTTTGTAGATCCTTTACATATTAGTAAATATATATCGGAAATTCTATTTGATATAATCGAAAGTTCAAGCTTACTTTTATAAAATTGCTCTAACAGTCTGCAAAAAATAATAAGCCGGATCCAATTCGAAGATTAAGGAACAACGCAATCTGCAACATTAACTGAATTAGATAATTTTAGCTTAGCTTATACCGTCTGTTATACTTTAAACGTGCATGTGTAAACATATTATGCGCACACACATATTCGCAGCAGTAAAGCAGTATGCGTCAACGCGACGCATGAGCAGAAAGTTTGTAGCTTTGAGGGTCCAGATTATAGATTATTCCGAATTATGGGTGTCCGAATTAACGACTTTTGACTTTACTTGGTAAGCGAATCCAAACTGTAAAGTGGGATTTTGTTTTGTAAACTGTTTTAAAATGTGTGATGAGTTGAAACATTAACTTGTATCTAGAAATTTCAAGATGTGTAATACATATGAAATGTCAAGTTCTGGAAAATAAGTTTATTATTCATGTCTGCATGTGTGAAAAAAATTACTTATCATAAAGGGGGGAATGATAATTTTTATAATTGCTTATACACATTATAGTGCATATTTTGTACATAAATAAGATTTTCGTACTATTTTGACAATAAAAAAATAAACATTTGTGGGACCAATATTTTGGAGTTTCTTGTACTGCTAAGTGGTTATAAAAAAATCAGAGACTTGCATGGATTTGGGCATCAGAGCACAATTTTTGATCCATCAAATTTGATCAGCTTTATGGAATGCAAAATTTTGTGTTCACTACTGTTAAGCAAAATGCTGTTTTTCTTCAGCCAGCAAACTCCACAGTCCTATTTCACTTTCTCCGAAGGTAAAAAAATGCATTCAATGCAGTATAAACAAACACTAATGGCCGTCAAATTTGAAGTCATTGCCACAAATATACGAGGGTTGGAACTTTAATAGTGGCAACACAGCTGAAAAAATGCTACACAACAAAAACCAAAGAATATCGCGTATACAAAGAATATATATTGTTAAGAAGGAAAGCTTCGCAGCAGCAGGAGTGGCTCCCTCCGAACGAAAAGGGACACAACTGCGCATGCGTGAAATATCTGTCACCAAAAAGCGCCAAAGCTCGAAGCTGATGAACAGGTTCGACGGTCACGTTTATCAAGAGTTTAAAGCTTTGTGACTCCATTTTTTTCCCCTACATATTGACAGGTATAAAATCAGACATCAAACTGCGATATGGATAATACAAGTTCAACTCGTAAAGCAAAAAAGCACGAAAATTCGAGTTTAAATTATTGCGAAAAGTCAAAGAACGATTCATCTTAACCCGTCTTCCTCAATTTCCTGTACACGTGGCGGAGGTGGAAAATCTCGGCCAGGTACAACACAAAGGGGGGAATTCTCACCAAGGTTCCACGCCAAATCCTTGGGAATGTCCCTCTCTTCATGCACGAAACAAAGTTTAATTACTTATAGCCTTCTTTTTCAAGATTCTTTTGTACACCGGACTGATGCTCAGCAAAACTCTCCTGCAAGCTGCAGTCTAAAGTAGTGTTGTCAGGATGTTTTCAAAACAAGAACAACGATGTTGGATAAAAATTGAATGTGCCAGAGGTCGTACAGCACGACAGTGTCATCAAGGGCTTCAAGAGGCTTGCGGGGAATCTGCATTGCCTTACAGAACCGTAGCAAGATGGGTGAAAGCATTCAATGAAGGACGCCAAAACGTGGCAGACATGCTGCGGCCAGGTCGTCCGAGTGTCAGCGATGCAGACGTGCAAGCTGTTGCCGCACTAATGGACAGTGATCGCCGCCAAACGATTCGTCAGCTGGCCGGACAAACAGGATTAGCGCATACGACTGTGCTGCACATTCTGAAGGAACGCCTGTCCATGAGAAAAATTGCTTCACGATGGGTTCCACATCAATTGACGGAAATGCAGAAATGGCTACGATACGATGCTGCCCGAACCCACCTGGAGCGCTATGAGCGCGAAGGAGATGCTTTTTTACGCCGTATCATTACGCTGGATGAGACTTGGGCCCGATCGTACCAGCCAGAACTGAAATGCCAATCAAACGAATGGCATCATCACGGGTCACCACGACATTCGAAATTTCATCAGAACCCCAGCAATGTGAAAGTTATGGTGATTCTCGTGTACGACTGTGATGGTGTCATCCTAACGCATACCGTTCCCCCCACAGCAGACCATAACTGCGCAGTATTACTGCTCATTTTTGGAGCACAATCTCCGACCAGCTTTGAGAAAAAAACGGCGACTTTTCTGCAGAACGCTCCTCTCATTTTGCATGACAATGCTCGGCCGCATGCAGCGCACGCTGTGACTAATTTGTTCAAGCAATGGGGCTGGGAAGTGCTTTACCATTCACCATACTTCCCAGATCTAAGCCCTTGTGACTATGACTTAATTCCTAAGATGAAGGAACCACTTCGTGGCACTCGCTTCCAAACTGTTCCTGAGATTCTTGCGGCAGTAGACCGGTCCATTCAAACTATCAACAAAACAGGCGCTGCTACAGGTATTCTGCGACTTCCACATTGTTGGAAACGGGTTGTACACAATGCTGGCAACTATATTGAAAGACTGTAAAACATGGTGACATGAATCACTTTTGTATTCCTTGTAAATAAATAGTTGCTACTATTAAAGTTCCAATCCTCGTATTTTGGGTATGCAACAAGTATCCTATTTTGGTGGCATATTACGTTGCCTTGTGAATGCTTTTCAGGAAGACGGGTGGATGATTGGAAAGTACTGAGAAAATATTTTCTTAAATCTAGTTAGCTCCTATTTCTTATAACTTAGTTAGTTATAAATATTTTCTTATATCTAGTTAGTGAAATAATCTACATTGAAGGTGGCTGGTTGGTTATGGAAATGATGCTCTCTTTGCATTGATCACTGAGAGTAGCTACAGATGCGTGAGTGTCATCGTGACTTTGTTGTGAATGATATCTTATAAATATATTACCTACAAGCATTTTGTAATGCCTGTAGGGTACTTTCTGATTATCCACATCTTCCCTAAAAAGAATTCACGACGCAGTGCTCTATGTCACCAAAATAAGCAGGCCATGATGTTGCCGAAATACATTTATGTAGCAACCCAGGTATTCATGTGCACAGCAGATAGTGCTCTTTTCCACTTTCAAATTAGATTGTCATCAGTGTTTGTTTTTGTTGCACTAAATGCAATTTTCTTTCTTGCTAAGAATCATAATAGGACTGTGGAGTTTGCTGCCTCGTGAAAAAAAAAAGCATTACAGTCCTTCAGAAATATGGCATTTTGCTGAACAGTAAAGAATGCAGATATTCACATTCTATGAAATTGCATTTTGTAAACAACCAAATTTAAAAAAAATTAAAACAGATCACTGCTTACATGGGAAAACAGCAGCAAGCACAATGCTAAATTTGTGCAATTTTCTGATTTTTTTTGGGGGGGGGGCTAAAAGAGATTGCTGTGTACATAGAGAAAACATTGCCTTCCCCCCAAAAATGTTTTATTATGGGTGTTTCTTGCATTTTTAATTTTGTTAATTAGTTGCCATTTTATGTAATTCTTAGTGAATCACCATTTTTTAAAATGGCTGTTTCAGGAGAGGTGTGCGGATACTCAGAAAGTGACACCATTTGGAGTTAGCTATTCAGTTGGCATAATATTTAATTCAGAATTTTGAAATGGCACCATGTAAGGTCACGTTTAATACCTTTTTTTATCATATTTAAAAAGAAAACTTGTTGATATCAATGTTATCTCTCCCAGTTGAACACATTTTCAGTGCTTGCTGTAATAATAATAATCAACTCAAAACTTTATTTGTGAGTATTACAGCTTTTATCTGCTTACACAATTGCAAATTTATGCAAGTCATTATGCAAGATGGGGGATATTACATAAATATCACATTTATAAAAACTGGAGAAGGATTTGAATGGGGGAAAATTTTAATATAAATGCTTTATAAAATATAGAAAATTCGGATTTTAATATAGCTGATGAGCAAAAAATATTTGTTTTTGTTATCAACATATGCAGCTGAAAATCTTTTATACTTTGATCGATGTCAACATTTGTATCTTACACCTGGTAAATTGCCTTTTCTTTTGATTATTGTATGTTATTTAGCATAAAAAAATTTCAAATTGTTAGATTTTTGTTTTTCATAATTAATTTATATATTTTGTTTTCTAATTATATATTTAGAGCATAACTTGTAACAAATTATGAATCATATAGTTAAAATCTAACTAATTATGTATTTTGTTATATATAGAGTTAGTTCCTAAAAGTGAACTCCTGAAAGACTTGGAACATGGGAAATCAACTAACTGGCATTGTTCCTTCCCAAATTTTTCCTGTAGAATATTACCTTGCTGATCTATCTGACTACACATTTGATCTTAAGTAAGTTTTTCTGCTAATGTTTGATAATGAATGTATATACTGATAATAATATATGTATTTGGATAATGATTAAGAATGAACTTATCTATTGAATAAATTATGTGAACAGTTAGTTATTTTTTAAGTACAGCCAATTAATTTAAATTTTTAGTGAGTGTTCTTCAGAAATTATACAAAAGCAGACTTTTTATTATTGGAATAGGTAGGAATTATCCTTAAAGAATAATGCAGAACATCTTTAAAATTCTGTTAAAACTTTCTTTATATTTTATGCCAGGATTATCTGCATTATATACATATTAGGATATATTGTGGTATTATACTTAAAACATTATGTTGCATTATTAAAAGGCTTAAGCATTTTCACAGTATGTGTATTTGTACATCTTAACTAATATCACATTTGTTGGGGAAAATAAGGAAAACTGTTGATTTGGGTTTAGAAATTTATTTAAGAAAATGTGTGTACATTCTTTTTTCCAAAAGATTTTTAGGAGAGTACAATTATAAATTTTTCTTTAAAATCTGTAAAGTTGATAAATTTATGTCAGTAAGTGTAGCAACAGCAAACATACTACAATAAGTGTATTTTGTTATTTTGTATTTTGTATTCTGTCTTGTGTTTGATAGCAGTTAACAAATGAGTTTTATTTCTTAAAATCTGTGTGCTCTGTATTTTGAGGTACATTCGTAAATTTTGGATATCTGGCCATAAATGTCAATAGTACATTGATAGAAAGTGTAATATATAAAATATCAGATATATTCACAATATTAAAAATTAACTTGTAATTCACCTTTATTGTCTTTAAAGATGGACCTTCTCATTTCAATCGAAATAGCAAAATTGAGTCTCTCTTTCTGTATCACCAGTATGTTAAACTAGATATTCTAAATTAAATAATCCATAGATTGAAGTGGCCACATAAAGACAAAAGCTATAATGTATTTAAACATAGCCTCAGCTAATAAGTTACAAAATCAAGCTTAGCTCTGAGTAGATATTTTTCCGCAGTCTACACATGTGGTTATTTTTTCATCTTCATGTTTTCAAAAGTCTAAAGTTAATGGAAATTCTTACAAGAAAGTTATGATGTAGTATAACTTCTCACCAATATTAATTCCATGGCAAGTTTTCAACAACTGTGTATTTTCTAAAACACAGTTTTGAAAGTTAATTGTGCAATATTGTATTCATTATTACCTAAGCATTTTTCTAAGAAATTTTGTCAGCTTTCTTCAAAACTTTTAACGATGGTTCTGTCTTGTGTAACTAAAAACTCATACAGCAATCATTCTTGTGAGTTCAGTCATAAGATTCTGAGTACTATGGGAAATGGATGTAGCATTATTTCATGAAGCAGGTTTCCTTATGATGGAAGATGTAAAGACAAATGTAGAAGTATAAACACAGGAAGACAAACGTGACTTTGTGGAAGACATATGTAGCTGATATACAGACAAAACATTTATTATAATGTACCACAAAGCACACAATTATAAATATGTAACATGAGTTACAGTTGTATTTGAGACCCATACAAACACATCTGTATCTCCATTTTCATCTACTCCATTTGGTCAAGGCTTCACCAAAATATTTCATGTCAAGTCATTGAGTACACGCATATGCAACTAATAAACCACAAATGAGGTGCAACTGTGCCAATGTATAACAAGTTCATTCCAACATTCTTGTCTAAAAGGTGACATTAAGCAATTACACTATTAAAGCAATATGTAAGATGAATGTAATGTTATAAAAGTAACATCAAAACTCCCATATAATTCCCCTACTTGTTGTTACAAAAGTTATATTTCGTGAGCAATGTCAGGGCATATCAGTTATCTCTCATTAGCAGAGTCTAATCTGTCAGAATTGAGATTCTTAGAAAATTTTAGGGAATATTAGTAAGTGGTTCTGCAGTTTCTCTGGTTTTATTTTCTTTCATGATAAATCACATGAACTAAAATTGTAGCAAAATACTAGATGATCATGTCTAATTTATTCAAGAAATAGCTTTAAAGACAGAGCAAGAAGGATAGAATGCTATGAAACTTTTAATTAAACAGAATACGCTGGTAACACAAATTATTCCAATTATTAGATAAAAGAGACCTTAGCCTATTTCAGATAAAAAATTTTCAGTCATGTTTTTGGTCAAATTTCATGAAATGATATAGTACTGTTTTCTTTGATACTTTAGGCAACGTAAGGACAAAAAGAACAAAGACCTTAAAAATTATTTGTTTAACTTCATCTCAGTTTGAATCAAAGGCGTTAAGAAATGATAACTGGAGATTTGGAGCCTTCCTCAAATTGTCGCCAAGCAGGGAGATTTAGCATTTTGATTGATAAGCATGATGTCATAACACACTTGTAACATCTGCACTTTCGTTTGGTGAAACCACAGGTAAACTATGACAATGCAACAAGTGCATATCCTTCCAGAAAGGAATGTGGTTCAAGAGCTGCAGAATCACATTTGTGATTGTGCTGTAATTTAGTGACAGCTGGTTGAATTACCATTTTTTGACTAAAGAAAAGAAAACAACTGGATATGGCCAGCATAACAGTAATAGATTGGAACGGTTGCCTGCGGAATACTTTTACTTATAGTGTTCTAAACAAAGTTTTTGGTGAACTCAGAGCGCCTAACAAAACAGCAGAAATCAACAGAACTTTTTATGAAGTATGAAAATGAAAGGGTTGAATACTTCTGTAGTGGGTGTTTGTTGGATTGGCTTTCGTTTGATGTAACCACAGGTAAACTATGACAATGCAGCACAAAAAATTGCAACAAGAGCATATCCTTCCAGAAAGAAATATGTTTCGAGAGCTGTAGAATCACATTTGTGACTATGCTGTAATTCATTTACAGCTGCTTGAATTACCATTTTTTGACTAGGGAAAAAAACAACTGGATATGGCCAACATAACAGTAATAAATTGGAATAGTTACCTGTGGAAAGTTTTTATTCATAGCATTCTAAACAGAGCTTTTAGTGAGCTCGGAGGGCCTAACAAAATAGCAGAAATCAACAGAAACCTTTCTGTGAAATACAAAAATGAAGGGGGTTGAATACTTCTATAGTGGCTTTTTGTTGGATTGCACAGAGAGACTGACAAATGTTTTATCGTAAAAGTTGTAGGCAGAAATACGGCTCACAATTTCTCAGGAACAATTGGTGCAAATTTGTCAGGATCCTTGCTATCTTTCATGGCCAGTGGTAGCCAACTTTCATGGCCGATGGTATAATATGTAAATACCATATTTTTTTAAATAAGCTTGTTATGTAAAAATACTATAGCTATAAACATTCATATCTCATTTCCGATTTGAACATGAACCTATTGATATTATTAAACTGTTTCTTTTGGATCACTCTATCATTTGTAGCAGCTAATTTTAAGTATAAAAATATAAAAGTATGTATTATTGTTATTAACTTCATAATGTGCATGTGTTATACATGAAAATTAAAAAGAAAATTAACCGAATACAAATTATTTTGAATTTTCTCTTTGGCATCTTTCTTATTGCTTTATTGCAGCATGGGCATTTATTTCATCATAAAATCTCAGGTGGTGTACTGTTTTATTGATGGCATTTTAATATCTATATGAGAAATCTTTCAAGTATTTTATGTACATTAAGTGTGACTTTTATGATTAATGTTTTTAATTACATTAAATATTCATTTATCCACTTATATTGAGCTTTTCTATTTGTAAGTGCATAATTATTACCGTATTTGCTCTGGATGGTGTTTGATTTTTACTATGTTAGAAATAACTGTTACATTAGTTAATATTTTAATGCTGTGTGAAACCTTCATTTTAGAACATTGAAATTATTCTCCTTATCCATGCAAAGTTTTTTTTTTTTTTTTTAATGAATTAAATTCAAGAGAAGAAATATAAAACTCATGAAACTCACAGTTTTGAAATTTTCTTCCACGTATTATTTGTTTCATATGTTAATGAGTTATACAAATTTTAATTTGCCTATTTATTTCCTTTTTCAGTTTAGGTAGTACCCGCTTTTTTAAAGTTGCTAGAGCTAAGCATAAGTAAGTATATTTCATTGACTATTGACTATCATTTTATATAAAGTATATGATTAAAACAAAATTAAATCTCAGATATAAAGTAGAACCCCAGTTATCTAAGTTTTGATTAACTAAGGTTCCATGTTATCAGAGCTTAGCATAATAAATAAAAATGCCATTAAAAGCCATTAAAATAGCTTTTCTAAAAAAAATAAACAATCTGTAAAAATGTTCCAATGTTTATGCAATACAATGGCAAGAAAATAAGGCAGCATAATGAACCAGAAGGCTGTTACTGATTTTTTTAATGTGTGATATGTATCATACAGCACCTCATTTGTATTATACATAAGTTTATAGTCCAAATGAAATATAGTACTATGTATATATATGTATATTCAAACATGCATGGAATTTAAATATTAGCAATCATAATGTGAAGATTGAAGACAAGAACTATTATCTAAAACAGGGTTACCACGCTACCTGAAAAACCGGAAAACGTCAGGAAATTCGAAAATTGACTTAAAATCTCAGGGAATTTAAATATTTTAGTCAAAATCCAGAAAAGTTAGGAAATTTCATATGGCAATCCTCGAAAAAAGCGATTTTTACGCCAACATTGGAAGTGATCACTTTCTTGGTGAATTATGTATCATGTGAGCATCATTTGAGCAGCTGGCGTAGAGCTAGTTTTCGCAGCTCCAATGAGACTGTCTTTTAGAAAGTAAAGCAAGTTTCCAGTGACTTTGGTTTTCAGTAACCTCAAGAATCAGGAGATTTGCGTGCATGTGCAGTGCATGTCGAATGAAGGAAAATACTTTGCCTTTCCTGAATAAAGCAAAATCAGTTTAATTCTAGCATATGGTATACATAGGATTTGGTGACATTATAATGAGTAGTAAACAAGTCAATTTTGTGTTGGCAGCAGTTTTCAAAATTGTGCCAAGGTCGTACTGTATATTATTATTTTATTACAAAATCTTTTAAACCTTTTTTTTCTTATTAATAAATGCCTTATTTATCATTTTGCAGTAAAATAAAAAAAAATAGTAATCAGTCACCTAGGCTAACCATTTAATATATTTGCCAAAATATCGTTGGTTATTATAATTTAGGTTTTAATCTTTAAGTAATTAACTTTAATGTTGTTCGTATCATTTAATGTGGCTTCTTCCTTTAAATTTATTATTAGTTAATAATACTTTCAAATTTCAGGCAGTTTTCTTTGTCATACACCATAAACTAATTCTAGCAGTATGATGACATATCATCACAAAATTTAATGCACATATTTTTTGCTTATGTTTGCTGCTAAATAAATATAAAATACCTGAATTTATTTAAAAATTATCATTAAATAGATTTCTTTCTTTCGTTTAGCTGCAAAATGTTTGCATAAAAAGACTAAATCCAGATTTTATTTTTTAAATTATATGTTATTTATAAATTTTTTAAATCCAGATTGGGCAGATTGTAATCTCAGTCTTCAGTGAAGAAAATAACTCCTATTATAGTGATAATAGTAATGCTTTGGGGATAAGGCATATGCAATTAGCAAACTAGCAGAACATGCTCTATCTTACAATCTAAAAAACCTCAGTATAAATATCACAAACTTTAGTTGCATTCTGTCAGGAAAACAGAAAGGAAAAGATACAAAATGTTAAATAACTGGTTAATTAACATAAAGGAACCTCACAGCTTGACTATCAAATATTCAACTAAGCAGAAAGCTCAAGTAACTAGAATAATTTAGACTTTTAGAAATTTTCTTTCCTCCAAAATTAAATAAATGTGAGATTTATAACACCATTATAGAGCTTGTTATATTATTAGTACATATATGTTTTTCCCAAACAGCCCCAAAAATGGATAAATGTGATGTCAGAACACGGTCATCATTTCTTCTTGGTTTTATGTAAACCCAATTAATTTTCAATAAGCTAGTTTAAATTTTGTAAAGAAGGAAGTTCCGCTTTTTTCATTGCATTTTGGAAAAAAATATTAATATTTGGGGCCTGCTGTATGGGATAGCATGCAATAGGATAGTTTCTAATTTACAAGATCCTGGCCTCAAGAAAGGTACGATGTGCAACTTGATTTAAAAACATACAAACAGTGGCAATGCAACCTGAAAAACTGCATTTAAGTTTTTATATGCTATATCTGTAATTTACATCCATTTAAGTAAAGAATGATCAGTTCCATTAAACTTTTGCTTGAATGGCTGGCACATATTTGGCCACATCACTGCTGCCTTTCATGTTCAGCACAATTTTGTAATTGGATAAGATGATGCACTTTCATATTCAAGGCCTGCAAATAGTTGGCTTTTATGTCTGAAATGCATTTCACTCCCCCGAAAGCTTATATAATTTTAAATGTAGACTTTTGATATTTGAATTGGTTATAAAAAAAAAGATGACAGTTTTTTTTTTTATAATTTTAAACCAGAAATCTCTTTTATTCGTTTGACTTTTATAGCAAGAATTCCAATTTTCATACAATCAAGGATCGAGAATTGTCGCTTATCTGGAATTCGGCATTTAGTGAGCTTTCCAGATAGTAGATCTTTTACTACAATCACAAAATAAAATTTTTCCTTTAAATGTCTAGAAATTCTATTTTTCTTTTTAAATCTGTACAAAACATACTTTTATTTATTTGTTTATTTAATTCATTTCAGAGAAGGATTAACAGTTGTAAAAGTGTTTGCGATACGAGATCCTTCACTGCCATTAAAAGCTCACCGCGATAGACTGGATGGTAATAATTTTGATTTTGTAAACACATTGTTGAAACCAAAGGTGGATTTATGAGCTTTGACAAATCTCAATTTTGAGGGCCTCCAAATCATTAATTTTTCAGAAAAATAGTCAATATACCCTTTATCTCAGTTTAAGGAACTCCCAAAAATTCTTATGAGCCTTCATATAATAAATTTGCCTTTGGTTGATACAGGAAAAAAAAATTAGATATAAAAATATATGGTTTTTGAATAATTTATGTATTTATTTTTATTTTATTTTTCAGAGATAAAAAAGTTGCTTGAAAAAGTTCCTAATACTGTGCCGTTTCAAAAATGTATGGTATGTAGATAAATGACCTAGAAATAAATTGTTATTATAAATTAATGTTTTCTTTTTCAGATTTACTGTTCAGTTAATATGTAAGTAATAAAAATCAATTTTTAATCAAGTTGCTTCATCATAATAAATATTTATACTTGGAAAGGGTAAGCTGACTAATTTTGGTACTTTTCTGTTAACAGTGATGCTATTTAGTGGCAAACATAAAGAATGGCACAAAATCTAAATAGATGGTGGTAACCCTGATGACATTTTAAGTCTCATAAAATTATCACTGTTGGCAATTACCACTTAAAAAAGACATCCAAATGTTTACTCTCAATCATAGAATTACTCCAGTTCTGCTGTGTGTTATTATAGACCTTAAGTAGAGTATATTTGCAAGAGAAGGACCTTAAGTAAAGTATATCTGTGAGAAATACTAGTATTTATGTTAGGTGTTACCTTTATTTAATTCAAGTTCATATTATTATGTTAGCCTTCATTTGTTCAAGTTTCTGATAACAGATTAGTATCATTGGTAGCATGTTGCAGATGAAGTCTTCAGCTTGAATTTTGATACTCTTTTTTTTTTCCACTTTTTCAATATGTGTTATTAATTTTTTTTTTTTTTTTTTTTTTTTTAATTATTGATGAAAAGTGTCTTTAAGACAATCCATGCTGTTTTTTCAACTCAATATTGAATTGTGCCATTCTTACATTTAATTGTGCTTGACATCTTGTTATTTTTACATCTTTTTTGCTATATGTCTGATTTCTTCCCTCCCCCTCTTAATCTTTGAGCATTTATATCTGGACTTCATGAACATTCTTCCTCATTCCTTACTTTTGTCCTGTGATAAATATTGAAGCTTTTGATAATTTACAAAGATATTTCATTATTTTTTGGCTGAAATAATAAATGGTACATTACATTGATAAAAGTTTACATTCATAAACTTATTACGTTGGTAAATAAGTTATAATAAATTACCATGCATTCAACATGCCTGTTGCTCAATTGCTTATGTTTTATTTTTATTTATTTATTAAATATTTTATAACATTTTCTATCAGTTTTAAATTGTTTTAAGAAAAAATACATTAAATTAGAATAATATATTTGAATTCCCTCAAGATTTTGTGTTATATTTTTTCATTATCCCTCTTGAAAATGCTTCTTTTAAATCAGTTTAACCCCCTGCAATAAATAAATTAATGCTTTGACAGTAATACAAGTAAGAAAATTTTACCAGTAGCGAAATTTGATGTATAAAGTTTCCTTTCATGTGCAAAAAAAAAAAATATGTTATCAACTGTGTTAATGAATGGAATAAATGGGAAAGTTTAGGTATTATATTGTTAGGAATTTTGTGCATATATAAATAATTTTAATCAAATTATATGGGAAATTGTTATACTTTTTCTGTATAATGTAACATAAAAGTATTAAGAGGTGTTGCTTTGCCAGAAAAATGATAATACAGAGGCAAGTCAATTTAACATAGAGTAAATGTCTTGGTTTTGGCAAGAAATCTCCCAAAGTTGCTAAACTTGCCAACATTTTGGTCCGGTCATTATATCACCCTAAAGTGTATTATGATTGAATAACTGTAAATGATTCCATATGTAGCTGTAACTGTACCCGCCCTCATATGCCTCCTAGTAATTTCAAGAAGTACTAGAGATTTCTTGGCAGCCAGGTAAAAACTGTATAGGACTGGAGAGAGCATCTGCTCTCTCCAGTCCTATACAGTTCGTGAGTTGTTAAGAGTTGTTAGTTTTGAATCGACTACGAAGTATGGAGATTTCTCCATGTTAGTTAAGCCTTTTAGATGCACTTTCCATTGTGTCGTGTTCAACGTTCTTAGTAGTTTGAAGTGTAATTACTGATTGTACTCTCTGATACTTTTAAGAGCTTTACAAGTATTTTTGTGATAAGGTTCAGAACTGTGAAGTGTTTCTTTTGGTAAAGTAAAATTTTATCAATCTTCCATTAATTCTGTATGCATTCAATTTATTACAAACCTGTATGCATACAACAATATAGATGTTACTCATAAGTTTTGATCCCTTCTTTATTTATGTAGCTCTTGCCTATTATTATTATTGTCATCATCGATATCATTATTATTATTACTTTCTGTTATGTGTATACTCAGGAACTGCACTTGCATGCTTACAATTTTCTTTATTCGGAATAAATGTGTGAACCAAGGTAGTGCGCTCCCAATGGGAATAATATGTATTTACCCATAACAAGTATCACGGACATTAAAAAAGAAACAGGTATAACTCTTTCGCATCGAAGTCGCCCGTAACGCCCGTTCATTCAGGCAACAGCAAACTGCCCCAACACCTCGTTTATTTTCTACCTAGTGCTTTCCCCCTCCACGTTAGTGTATGGCTCATTGGTTTCGCGAGTTGTTAAGAGACATGTCAATCATTCTTTTGAAGCAACTAAAGGAGACATACGGAAAGCTATTAACGTTCGCAGGTGCAATCTGGCTCTAAGGTGAAACTGCACACAATGGATGAAACCGCTGAAAAACCCCCAAGAGAGAAACAGTAATTTCACTTAAGTAGGTTATTGTTAATGCTGTAGCTATCTACCAGGCAGGGGAAAAGGAAAACTATTCCAAGACAAATTCGTAAACACAGGCATTTTCGATGTTTGTTGAAAACAGATTTGGTCATCTCTCGATGCGAAAGAGTTGGAATTGTGAGAAAAATCTACCTGCTAAATGAGAAACTGATGTATTCCGTAGTATATTTTGATGACTTTTATGATATAAGTACCATATTCTTTAAAATAAAAAAAATATCATGATGTGTGTCACTGTGAGATATTTAAGACCGGAATAAACTTAATTTTCTTAAAGGTTATTTTTTATCGACGGACCAGCTTCACTGCTTCGTTTTTAATTATTTTATTTAGAAAAACATCATATACAAATATTTACAGTGAAGCAAAAATACAATTTAATTGTGAGCTTCGGTTACAAGTAATTGCCTCACGTCAGACTGGTTAGATTTCTTCTTCAAGTCTGTTGCCTCAATCATAGGAGGCGATAATTTGGCGAGATTCGTGGCGTAAAATGCGCCAACATCCCGCCCGGCCTTGCTATGTTCACATGCAAGAACTTAACATAAATTTAATTATGAAATACCAGTATTAAAGTTTCAGTTATTCATGTAAACAAGTATAAAATATGTATAGGAAAAATATAAATAAGTGAACAAAACATGAATACAAAATTATTGAGAAAAAATAATTTTAATATAATTACTAACAACTGAGTAACATAATTCACAACTTGCTAAACTTCAATAGGCAATACAGCTATTTTTTAATTGTCCTTTTAAAGTCCCCTGTTTTGGTACGAACTTTTACAACATGGACTTTTCCATCAGAACCGTGGTACAATGATGTTATTCGCCCTAAAAGCCAATTGTTAATTGGCAGAAAATCTTTCTTTAATCAAAACCATTTGGCCGATCATCAGATCATTTTTTTCAACCATCCATTTTGATCTAGACTGTAAAGTATTCAAGTAATCAGACTTCCATCTTTTCCAAATAAGTTGTATAGTTTTTTGTAGTTTTTTGCCAACGACTTAAGCGGTTTTTCCTTTAAATCCGTTTTAAAATATTCAGAAATTGCTGTTATAGGTCGCCCTATCAAGAAATGACCTGGCGTCAGAACTTCGAAACTTTCTGAATCACTAGAAAGAGGAGGTAGTAAGCGGTCTCGAATTTAATATTCCTTCTATCTGAATGACAATCGTTTCGAATTCTTCGTAAGTGAAATGAAAATTGCCAATCATACGTTTAAGATGGGTACTTCACCGATTTATCCCAGCTTCCCAAAGTCCACCGAAGTGAGGCGATTTGGGTGGTGCAATAAAATTCAATCAATTTTCTTGCGAAAAATGATTTAGCTAATTCTTTGTCTGGGAAATTAATGAGCTTATAAAATTTTTTCAATTTTGAATTCGCTCCAACAAAAGTTAGTAGCATTGTTTGGTATAAATTTTGAAACATTTGCCACGTCTACTTGTAAAACGTTTAAGTGTTGCAATTAAAGCATCGGAAGTCAAATCTGTTAATGTGTCTCAAGATGGATGGATTTTGTTGCCGAAAACATATAAAAATACAAATATACAATTTATTCAGAATACCTTTTACGTTGATTTTTAAATTTCACTAAATAAGGGCCACATAAATCAATACTGTAATAGAAAATGGAGCTGAAAACATTAACTCTTTCACTAGGCAAATTACCCATAATTTGTGAAGAAAGAGTGGGCTTACATTTAAAGCACGTTACACATTGATGTACTGTTTTACGTGCGAGACTACGGCCACCTAAAGGCCAAAATTTCAAGCGCACTGCATTTAGCAGACCTTGTGGTCCAACATGAAATAATTTCCTGTGTAAACTTTCAAAATAAATTTTACTTAACTCTTGAACCCTTTAGGTAAAATAGGAGGATGTCTTTGAGAATATGGCACTGAAGCATTCTTCAGCCTTCCTCCTACACGTACTATTCCTTTGGTCATCAAAAAACGGAAATAAATTCGAAATATTACTTGGCAGTTTTTTTCCTTCAAGGAGAACTCGTTGTTCATGCTTAATCAAACAACTTCTTCAGCTTCTCTTACCTCCTCCACTGACAGTGGTCCCCCCTTTTTTTTTTACCTTTATTCCTGCAATTGAAAATAAACCTGAAAATATAAGACCAAAACATGGTTAATTTTATAATAATTGTTTGAAAGTTCTAAGAGGTCGTCCACAATAAAATGTTGAGAGCTGTCATTTAGCAGGGCTGTCTCTTTTACAAGTCTCATCTTCAAAAGGAATTTTCCTTTCTCGCCGCAAAGTTTCTTTTTCGACTTGTTCGATGGTTTCAATCTCAGGAATAAATGGTTGCAAGTTCTTGAAACTGTCAGGCTGCATCAAGAATTCTGGACCTGTCCACCATCTAGAATCTGTCACCAAGGGATCAGCATTCATTCCA